GATTTTAGCACGGTTTGGTTAGATTGGGATTTTACATATGAAGTAAAGTCGGTGGCCATTTTGGATCGGCAGGTTCGAAAGTTGAGATAAAAGAATATAGCTTCAGTGAAAATTTAGTGGTGTAAGGCCTCGTAAAATTTCACCTAAAACCTGATGTTTCATGCTACCAAAGTAGCCTTATGTGTTGGTGATTGTAGAGATTCTTCGCGGTTTTTGGGTTGAACAGTGCATTGGGGAGTTGAAGAAAGTTTTTGGCATAGTAGGGCATTTCTATGGTCCACTATACAATCGCATAATCACTTTATGGGCTGCAGAACCGCCGCATACTGAAGCAGAAAAATGGCCAATTTTTGAGGTTGCTTTGCGGTCCATTATACGGCCGCTTAACCATTTCACGGGCCGCACAATCCATCGTAGACCCATTTTGAAGATTTTCAGACGGGAGTTTTGTGGTGCATTATGCAACTGTAGAACTAGTCTATAGACCGCAGACCCAACCTGAACAACCCTATTTTGGGACCTTTTTCTTCGGTCCCCTTTGCAGGCTGCATACCTATTAGACTGGACCGCAGACCCGACTTCGTAGAGTTTATGTTTGCAAAATCTCACCCGATCCCACTTTTATAATAACAACTTGGGGTTTATTTTGGCTGGTCCTAACTAGTATTTTTGAGAGAAGAAAGTGGTCTAGAGTGAGAAGGGGATTCCTAAGCTAATTGTTTACCAATATTTGCTCAAGTCTTGAATAATTCACAAGAAAGAGTCATAAGGTCTTCATCCAAGAGGTAAGGTTCCATACCCTAGTCTTCAATTTCAAATTTGGGGTAGAAGATGGTTAATGGGGTGTGTGATTCTTGGGTTTGAGAGTGTATCTATGCATGCATGTACAATCATGAGATGTGGGAAGGTGGTTGAGCTCAAATGGGTAGCCCTTAGGTTGTGGGGTGAAGAAAATCCACCATAGGATAAGCTAGAAATCATAATGCCCACCTAGTGTTTGATAAAATGCTCAAATGAGTTGGAACCATGAACTCTTTCCTAATTTGTGTTCAATTTTGTTATATTTCTAAATAGATCGAAGTGGCTAAGATTTCCGAATATTGTAATAATTTAAGGAAGCTCAAGGCGAGGTATGTTGGTTAAACTTCTCTCTTAGAATTAAATCCCATGATGTTCATGTAAATTCTGAGTTGTTCATTTTAAACTTGCTAATCCGAATAAGCTTGGTGTCAAGAGATAGTTGTGTATATATATATATATATATCAAAATGTGTCCCGCATATACTTATAATATTTTGTTGTTCTTCGGGAGCGTGTTCAAAGCATGAGTCATGTATTAAACTGTTGTGACCTCAAGTCAAGTTCAAATGGAAGCTGATATCTGAAATTGTGTAAGAAATCTCCAAGTGCCTAACACCCTAATTTGCTCACATGTATATTTAAAGTCTTTTTGAAAGCCTTGTTTTTGATTATCCATGATGATATTTGAAAGCGGAGGAAGAGAGCTTGAAATATGATGTGCAATATTGCGTTTTCGTCATTGGTGCCAATGAAATGAATGATATGTAAAAGATTATTAAATGTATGGTAAATCCTTTAAATAATAAATTTTTTGGGAGTATTGTTTAGTCACAAAGGAAGGGTAGGTCAAATAACCTAACCCCGAAACTACACGTGCTGGTGTAGGAGTGATTGAGGGGTAATATCCCCGTGTTAATGGGATTAGGTTGTCTCCCCTTATATGGGATGATATTGATGTATTGAAATGTTATCCCCTTAAATGGGATGAGATTATTGCTAACGAGATGTGATATGATGTCGACCCACACGACATTATGGTGAGACAGCTTAGCCGATCGGACTGAGATCGGACGCCATGCTGCGCATATGTTGGTATTGCGAGTGGATGCCTCGGGGTGAGATGCCTTATCCGATCGGTCTATGATCGGACTCCGTGCTAAAAACACGGTTGTTTATTGGTGCTAAAGATTTCCTAACTTAAAAATGTTGAAACTTACTTAAAATTTACCTTTCCCCTAACTTGACACCTTGATACTATTTGAGTCTCTTATTGATTTCATGTTTCCTTCTCTGTTTAATTTTTCATACTAGTACTATTCCATGTGTACTAACATCCCTTTTGTCGGGGGCGCAGTATCTTTAATGGATGCAGGTGGTTCCATAGCGGGTGGTGTTGATCCGTGATAGCAGCACACCCTCTCCTCAGCTGACTTGGTGAGCCCCACTTCATTTCGGAGTCCTGAATCTCTTATCCTTTGTACATAGTATTTTGAGGTATAGTTGGGGCCTTGTTGTCGGCACTGCCGTAGCACTCTTTTTTTTTATGTTAGAGGCTCCGTAGACATAGTGTGGGTTGTATCTTATTTTAGGAAAGTTAAACTAAAAGTGTTGTAATTGTATCACATGTTACACTTTAAACTATGAATGTGCAATATATTTTGAGACATATAAATGGGGTAACCAATGGTAAAGAAATGGTGTTGTTTATGTGATATTCTTATTATCTAATTATTGAAATGTATCTTCTTTTTTATTCTTGGGAGAGTCGGGTAGACGGCATTGTGCAGGCTTGCTCTACCAGTATATCTCAGTTGAGTGCCGGTTGCGCTCCTCGAGGTCGGACCGTGACAAGTAGAGAGGCGATCCAGTCGAGAAGGCTACTCGGGAGACCAAGCGGGAGATGTAGAGGATTTATCTACACTTATTAGAGACTCCAGGTATGATTCTAGACCCATTCTAGGATGAACGTTTGTTTAAGAGAGGGAGAATGTAACGACCCGGACGATCATTTCATGTTTTATAGCCCCGTTTCCCTATTTATCGATTTGTCTATTTTCATTTCTGGTTATGTGACTTTTCGGGGTGGTTGGTTTGGTTTCAAGGCTGATTCAGAGTGAACTGTGACACTTACTCCCAAGGTTGGAAGCTGAAGATGGAAGAGTTGACTGGAGTTTGAATTTTGTACAGACGACTCCAGAATGGAATTTGATGGTTCTAATAGCTTTGTAAGGTGATTTTGGACTTAGGTGTATGTCCAGATATGGATTCAGAGGTCCGTAGGTTGGTTTGAAGTTTTTTGGCAAAAATTGGAAAGTTGAAGGCTGAAAAAGCTGAGAGGTTTAGCCAAGAGTTAACTTCATTGATACCTTGTTCGGATTTTGGTTTCGGGAGTTGGAATAGATCTATTGTGTCATTTATGACTTGTGCACAAAATTTGAGGGCAATCAGAGTTGGTTTATTATGATTTTGGCATTAGGTTTAGAAGTTGGAAGTTCATTAGTTCATTAGGCTTGAATCAATGTACGATTCGCATTTTTTGTGTTGTTTGATGTGATTTGAGACTTCGAGGGAGTTCGTATTGTGTTTTAGGACTTGTTGGTATGTTGGGCCCGGGTGGGCCTCAGGGGTGTTTTAGATTGTTATCATATCATTTTTGGGCTTGGTGTGATTGCTGGAGCTTTTGGCTTCTGGTGATTTCGCACTTGCGGTGTGTATGGCCGCAAATGCGGCACGACAGGTGTGATGAGATATGCGTAAATGCGTAGAGAAATGGAGGCTGGGAATACTGCAGATACATGTGCATTTTCTCCCGAAGAGGATCCACTTCTACAATGGGAGGTCCGCAGATGCGGAAAGTGGTTGGTTAGGTATGGATTGTAGATACGCTAGCTTGTCTGCAGGCGCGAATGCGTAAGAGTGAATGAGTGACCGTAGAAGTGGTCGCGTAGGTGCGGAACATTTACCGTAGGTTTGCAAGGTCAGAAAGTTAATGAAATTTCCCACCTACGATAGTTGAGTCCATAGGTGCAGCGTCACAGGCGCGACTTTGAGGGCCGCAGATACGGGATCGCTGGGCAGAACCTTTTAAGGCAAGGGTTTGGTCTTTTCTTCACATATTTGGAATTTTTGAGTTCGGACTAGGATGATTTTGGAGTATTTTCCACCAATATTGAAGGGGTAAGTGACTTTTAATCACTTTTGTCAAGAAATGTTGAATACCCATTGATTATCACACCTAATTTTCATGAATTTAATATAGAACTTGGGGACTTTTGGACTATGTTATTGGAGAGTTAAATTTGAGGGTTTGAGGGTCCATTCTTGGTTGGAATTGGATGATTTTGGTATGGTTTAACTCAAAATTGAGTGGATGTTTAGAATTTGTGAATTTGTCAGGTTCCGAGGTGTGGGCCTAGGGTTGACTTTTTTAGTTGAGTTAAAGATGTTAGATTTGTCTTTTGGAATCACTTCCTCTTACTTTTATTGATGGTATTGCATTACTTTTACTAGATTTAGATTGCCAGAGGTCGATATGCGTGGGAAGGGCTTGTTAGAGGAGTGATTTGACTTGATTAAGGTAAGTATCTTATCTAAACTTGGTTGAGGCACTAGTTGCATTAATTATTTATGATAGCTACGTGCTATAGGTAAGCATATGTGTTGGGTTGAGCCCATGTGCTAGCACTGGGGTATTTATTCATGCTCGGTATAATGCTTAGGCAATGCTATGCCACTACAACATTTTATGCCTTTAGCCACCTTCAAAAAATGTGGCCTAAACTATCCAAAAGTATGGTATTTGATTAAAGGCCACATTTTTTTGACTTTTGGCAACGTTTTTGTGGGGTGGCCTAAGCTAGCGTAACCTTTTCCTTAAGGCCATGCTTTTCAAGTGTTGCTTTAAAAGCCACGCTTTTGAAGCGTGGCCTATATGATACAAGGGCCACGCTTTTGGCACCTCATAAGGCAACTATTCTTTTCCTAAAGCTACATATATGAAACGTGGCCTTTCTTATCTTATAGGCCACATTACTTAAGCCTGGCATTTTTATTTGGCTATAGAAAAAAATTTATAGATATTTATACGAGCCACAATTTGTGATTTATTAGTGAAATCTTTTTAAATCATATTTATTTCAAGCATATGTATTATAATCTTACTTCAATGGTCTCAAGCGCTAAATTGGCTAATAAATCACTTAAAATAATAATTCATATGTATATATTTGCAATAAACTTTTAAAAATAAACATATTTATTGTAGTACACATACTAACAAGGAAATATTTAAAGATGTATACTAGCAATAAACTCTACAACGTCCAATATATTCAAACATCACAATTGTTCCAAAAGTCTTCAATATTCACTTCAATAGATCAAATTGACTTGGGGCCACCATTTTAAATTACATTATCCGCAATTTCCTGCACATTCAAACTAAAATTAAAATTAGAAACAATATATAGTATGTATTCATATAGTATCATGAATATACAAGACCATGGATTGAAAGAACTTGACTAACTAGCATAGGTTTCCATTGGCTCTGTTACAGTTGAACAAATAGTGCACAACCTTTGTAACATTTGGATCGAATAACTAATGCTCAATTATTAGCCCTTGAACATCAGTTAGCTGCTCCAAATATGAAAGGAAGAAGATTCAATCAGTTGCATTTTTGTATTGCCATCAGCACTTTCTTTGGTGCTCGTGTGATGTTTTCACACAAGCATAAGAACCAGAAGAAAGATGCTTTCAGATATCTCTGTCATGTCCATAACAGGAAGACAAACATATGTTCATACTTTACGTGATGAGTTATCTCTTCATTTCTCCCAATTCAATTTGACCACTTTCCCATCTCAACATTAGTAGATACTACCTATGCTTTCTTAACATATTTTCCTTCAGCTACTCATTCTTTCAGTATTTTAAACTATATTATAGACTCCTTTTTTATTAGGATATATTATAGACACTTCTCTATAGAATTCTAAACAACTAGTGTCTAATCCTTTATGTAAACAAGAAAAACGATCAAGTTTTGCATCGTACTATCTAAAATCGACCAAAAACTAATGTAGTATGTTATGGTAACTCCAGAAAATAACTTGAAATAATGAAAATAAATACCTTTTCAAGAATTGTACATAAGTTGAACTAGAGGAATGTAGAAGATTTTGGCCTCACATAGCTCGTTCACTACTCGCATGTACCGGAGAATATACGTTAGATTAGATGCACCTTGCTTTATCCTGTTTAATCCAACAGGCAATAGAAATCACCAAACCAAAAAAATGCACCAGCTAGGCTTAATAAGAACGTAGGTACCAACGATAATGGACCATAACCATGTATAAAAATTTAGACCAAACATTAACTGATTGATTTTGTTCATTTATAGGGGTGTTCTTCTCTTTGAGTAGTCAAAACGTTTCATAGAAAGCGACGATAAAAAGGCAGTATATTATATCCATGTAGCTGTATAAGGAGAAATTTTTTACAGAGGTGAAGATTAAAATATAGTATATTTAATCTTAATCTGCATATAAATAGAGATCACCGTGAGTCGATATGCCATGTGATAGACTTTCTATGTGAGTTCAAAAGATTGGATTGTGATTTCAAGGATAGAATCAAGATATTATCTTACTATATATGCCTTACATTTTTTTTTCTTTTTCCATCATTGATATGGATAACAAAACACTTCACAGAAACTATAAAATTTGAGCATAAAAGATATTACTAAGCATCCTTTGATTGTATGTCAGTTTTCTCTAAATCTCAACTTCTTCGAAGTTCTTACTCTATCCATTTTCTAATTGATTTTCCTTCATACCTAAAACATGTTTTATTCAATTTTGTAGGTGTAACTTTAGGCACCATTCTTGTTTCCACTATTATTCTCTCACTTTATCAATTTAGTTTGACAATTAAAAAGGAAGAGAGGATCAAGTTACACTTCAAAGTTTTTAGAAGACTACAAGGTCACAAGACCAACTAGATATTCTTATGCAAATATTTAAGAAAATAGATGATTTTAGTGAAAACTTAGGAGAAGGAAGTCATGGAACTATTTAAAAAAGATAACATTCCAAGGAAATCTATGTTGCAGTAAGAGTCCTACGTGATTCCAAGGGTAAGGGAGAGAATTAATCAACTACAATCATTATATATCAGGATGAAAATAGTAGGAAAAGCATCCTGATTCCACTACTGGAAGTGATCAATCTCTGAGCTCAGGCTCTTGTTTTGGCGAAACAAAAAAAATATGTAGTCTTTTTGTTTACAATGGACTTTCAATAATGATTAGACTGGAAGTTTACAATCGAAAAAATGTAGTCTCTTTTATTAGAAGTTTATAAACTTCTAATAAGATCATTATGTAAACTATAATCATAATAATAACATGACTTCTATGGATATAGTGTATACTATTACCTTTCTAAAGACGGAATACCCAAAGTTTGAATGCCCTGGTGGATTATATATTTGCTATCAACTACTCACCCTACAACAATTTCAAGTTCCACACAAGAGTTAGATATAAATCAAGTTTTCTCCATAAGAGTAAGATGTCCCAACTGTTTAGGTTCATTCCACAATTGCAATGACAATCTGGGGGTAGCTTGGTTGTCAAGTTTTTTTTTCCATATTATTAAGTTCAAATCGCTATATATTTCCAATCTTCTACCATATATTGCACCAAATAGCTTGTTGAACTAAAATTCGCTTATAAGTAATCAAGAATTTTCAAGAAAGCCTTTATCAAGGCTGAAACCATCAAATTACTATCTTGACTTACATTAAGTTTTCTCTGTTGGAGAGCTGTCAAACCATTTTGCAAGGCCATTTTAAGTTATCATGTTCCATAAAAACTCCACAGTATATAAGATATAGAACTTTCAGTTCTTGTAATAAACATTACAGACAAATGACAAATTGACAAACAAATGAAAAATATAACTAGAATAAAAAAGGCATTCCCTTAAGAAGAAAAGGAATTCCAGAGAATCCAAATTGCAAACCCACTAAACTGAAAGGAAATTTTTAAAGAAATCTTACCTACAAGTTTTTGGGAGATGAGATCAGCCCTAAATCACGTCGAAATCCCCAAACTAGCGTGCCGATGAAATCCATCTCAAAGCTTGCAGATAGAATCGACTTGTTAACTTGCTGATGAAATAGATGGCCTTAGAACACATGCCAACGAAGACATAACAACATAAAACAACATAATAGAACAATACGCATACGACCAGAGAGCATCTCAAGAAGAGACAACCTAGATTGACTTTCTGATTGAATCGATTTCTCGTTGATGGAATTAGAACTTTATTTTTGCACAAAAAGAGCGGTGATATCACTCAAAACTTGAGTGCTAGTAATATCCCCCGAATTGGCATTCTGAATAACAAGAGGAAAGAAGAAGAGAAGCAGGGATATTTGCCTTCTACTATCTTTCCCCCAAAAATATCCGCTCCTGGATTTTAGCGGGGTAAATTGTTTTTGTCACAACCCAATTTCCGAACCCGATCCTGATGGCACCTCTCGTGAAGACAAGGCCAGCCATACTAAAACGGAACACCTCTTTTAACCAATTAATTATTATAAACGGTAATAAAATATAATATAATATCTATAAATTGCAGAATTTACCGATAATAACAACAGAAACCATCCCGACACAGCCCAAACCGGGGTGTCATAAGTCATGAGCAACTAAGAAATACAGATACAAGTCTACCGAACACTAAATCCGATACAATAGTTCTAAAAACATGAAAATGATAAGATGAGGGAGGCACGAGGTTGCGGACGCCAACAACTACCTCGTAGTGTCTGAATCACTGCCTGGACTGGGAGAATCAGAACTCAGGAACGGACTCTGCGATGCCTGAATCTGCACACATGGTGCAAGGAGTAATGTGAGTACTCCGACTCAGTGAGTAATAATTATAAATAATGGCTGAAAGTATGAAAACACTTTAAGGCACAAAGAAATTCCATATCAAGCAGTAAAATCACTTAAGGCAGTAAATCAGTGAAGAAATCAAATGAAATCCCTTTTAAAACAAGTAAAACAGAAAATTTTAACAGGTAAATATCAAGTAGAAATCCGCCCCTCGGGCACAGTATCAATCTCTTAGAATAGTATCAGCCCCTCGGGCTCACTCTCAGTACAATATCAGCCCCTCGGGCTCAGTATCAATCACTCAGAACAGTATCAGCCCCTCGGGCTCACTCTCAGATCATAATGGGTACCCGAGTTCACTGTGGGTGTGCAGACTCCGGAGGGCCCTTACGGCCCAAGTGCTATATCAAGCCATCTCGTGGCAACATCACTCAGCACTCGGCCTCACATTACTCGGCACTCGGCCTCACATCACTCAAGCCACCTCGTGGCACATAAAGTATCTCAGGCCCTCGGCCTTATATCACTCAGCATATCCTCACATATGGCCCTCAGCCTCATTCAGTCCGAAAATCATCACAAACCCCTTGGGCATTAGTAAAACAGTAGTTCTCAGCCCAAAATATGATGTAGAAATATCATTTAAGTTTCAAATCAGAGTAAAAGTGGCTGAGTTTGTAAAATAGTAGATATCAACAGGACTAAATTCAAATAATAAGTCAAGCAGTGAGGAAACAGTGATAAAAATTCCCGAAGGGTCCAAATAGTTGGCACGAGCTCAAATATGGCAATCAGCCTAAATCATGATGATAACAAATACATTTCAGTCAAATACGCGGTAAAATCATCAATCAGGACGGACAAAGTCACAATCCCCTGTAGTAAAAGACCCCACGCTCATCATCCAGCGCGTGTCTCACCTCAATATAGTACTACTATGTGCAATCCGGGATTTCAAACCCTCAGGACATAATTTACAATAATTACTCACCTCGAACCGGCTACAACTCTAGCTCGCGACGCCTTTGCCCCTTGAATCGTCCTCCACACGCGTCGAATCTATCCAAAATCAAAACGAATACGTCACAATATGCTAAGGAAACAAAACCCAAGCGAAAACAATCGAAAAATATCAAAAATTCCAAAATTAGCAAAACTAGAGACCCGGGCCCACTTCTCGAAACTCCGAAATTTTCACATCATTAGATTCCTTATCACCCCACGAGCTCACACATATCAAAAGTTCTCAAATCCGACCTCAAATGGTCCTTCAAATCCCAATTTAAAAGTTCAAAATCCCAAGCCCTAGTTCTTCCATTTTTAGCTTAGGGTCCATTAATTTCTAAGTTAATTTCACACTAGAATCACATTTTAGGTTCAAAAATCTTACCTCCAATCGATTCTCCTTGAATCCCTCTTTAATAACCTTCAAAAAGCTATCAAAATGCTCAGCTATGGAGGAAAAATGAATCAAAATCACGGATGAAATGTTTAATAAACTTTCTGCCCAGGTCTGACCTCCCTTCTTCGCGAACGCGGTCAACACCTCGCGTTCGTGAAGCATAAAATTTCGTTGACCAACTTTTGCTCTACGCGAACGCGTCAACCCAGTCGCGAACTCGATGCTTCTACCTCCTATACCTTCGCTAACGCGGATGACCTTACGCGAACGCGATGAAGAAATTACTTGGACCCCAATTTACTCTACGCGATCTCGAGTTTCCTCTCGCGAACACGATGCACAGCTTTACCACCCTCGCGAACGCGGCACCTGTCTCACGAACGCGGAACCTGCCTCGCGAACGTGAAGGCCAAACCATCACCTCCCTCAGCAGACTCTTCGCGAACGCGAAGAACAATTGTCTGCAACTGCTGGAATTGATTTTCTACAGCTTCCCAAACTCCAATTTGGTCTGATTGACCACCCGAAACTCACCCGAGGCCCCCGGTACCTCAACCAAAAGCACCAACACGTCCTAAAACCTCATTCAAACTTGTTCCAATCATCAAAACACCTCAAACAACACCAAAACCATCAATTCACATCAAATTCGGGCCTAAGTTTCTAAAAGCGTCTGAAATGCTTTCGACCAAAAATTCAACCAAACCACGTCCGAATGACCTGAAATTTTGCACACACATCACAAATGACATAACGAAGCTACAACGATATCTCGGAATGTCATTCCAACCCTCGGATCAAAATTTCGCCTATCAACCGGAAATCGCTAAAATACTAACTTCGCCAATTCAAGCCTAATTCTACACCGAACCTCCAAAACCAATTCTGATCACACTCCTAAGTCATAAATCACCTCCCGAAGCTAACCGAACCATCGGAACTCACATCCGAGCCTTCTAACACATAAGTCACCATCCGGTTAACTTTTCCAACTTAAACCTTCTTAAAAGAGACTAAGTGTCTCATTTCTTACCAAAACCACACCAAACGCAAACCAATACACTCGACCATATAAAACACAGATAACGAAGCATAAAGAAGCAGAAATGGGGAAAAACAAAGCGGTAACTCATGAGACGACTGGCCGGGTCGTCACATCCTCCCTAACATAAACAAACGTTTATCCTCGAACAAGTCAAGAAACATACCTGAAACCTCGAATAGGTGAGGATACCTGCTCCGCACCTCTCGCTCGGTCTCCCAGGTAGCCTCCTCCATGGGCCGACCTCTCCACTGTACTTTTATTAAAGCTATATCTTTTGACCTCAACTTCCGAACCTAGCGACCCAAAATAGCTACTGGCTCCACATCAAAGGTCAAATCATCCTCCAACTGAATCGTGTTAAAGTCCAAAACATGAGAAGGATCTCCAATATACTTCCGGAGCATAGAAACATGAAATACCGGATGCACACTCGACAAGCTGGGGGGCAAAGCAAGCTCATAAGCCACCTCCCCAATCCTCCGAAGCACCTCTAAAGGCCCAATAAACCGCGGACTCAACTTCCCTTTCTTTCTAAATCTCATAACACCCTTCATGGGCGAAACCTTCAGCAAGACCTCCTCACCAACCATATAGGATACATCTAGAACCTTCCGGTCCGCATAACTCTTTTGACGCGACGACGCTGTACGAAGTCTCTCCTGAATCACCTTCACCTTCTCTAAGGCATCCTGAACCAAATCTGTCCCCAATAGTCTAGCCTCGCCGGGCTCGAACCAACCAATTGGAGATCTACACCGCCTCTCATACAAAGCCTCATACGGAGCCATCTGACTACTCGACTGGTAGCTGTTGTTGTAGGCAAACTCTGCAAGCGGCAAAAACTCATCCCGTGAACCTCCAAAATCAATAACACACGCATGCAACATGTCCTCAAATATCTGAATAGTACGCTCGAACTGTCCGTCCGTCTGAGGATGAAATGTAGTGCTCGACTCCACCTGGGTACCCAACTCTCTCTGCACGGCACTCCAAAACTGTGAAGTAAACTAGTACCTCTATTTGAGATGATGGAAACTGGAACACCATGCAACCAAACAATCTTCCGGATATAAATCCGTGCCAACCGCTCTGAAGAATAGGTAGTACACACAGGAATGAAGTGCGCGGACTTGGTCAGCCTATCCACAATCACCCAAATAGCATTAAACTTCTTCAAAGTCCGAGGAAGTCCAACCACAAAGTCCATAGTGATCCTCTCCCACTTCCACTCGGGAATAACCATCTACTAAAGCAAGCCACCCGGTCTCTGATGCTCAAATTTTACCTGCTGACAGTTGAGACACCGAGCTACAAATCCCACAATATCTTTCTTCATTCTTCTCCACCAATAGTGTTGCCTCAAACCCTGGTACATCTTAGCGGCACCCGGATGGATAGAATACCGCGAGCTATGGGCCTCCTCCAGAATCAACTCTCTAAGCCCATCCATATTGGGCACACAAATCCGGCCTTGCATCCTTAACACACCATCGTCACCGATGATCACATCTCTGGTATCACCATGCTGAACCCTGTCCTTAAGGACTGTGAGCACGTGATTTTTGTTTCGCGCGACAATCGCTCCAAAAGAAATAAAAAATAATA